TTTTTTTTATGCTTTCATTACGTTACTAAATTCTTTACATTTTATATGTTTGTCTTAAAACCCTATATTTGGCCAATTATTTTTCCCCATTAGGGCGAGACAAGAGTAAAGCGAAGATCACTGTAGCCTGGAGCAGACTGCTGAGTACCAAGCAACTCCTGCTTCTGGTTCCCAGAGTTGCCAGTGTATCTCAAGCCCCAGGCACGGCCTCCCTTCGATTTTCCCAGCCAAAGGACCTGAGAGCTTTCCTAGCTCTCCATTTTGACCTGCAGCAAGCCCATGCTGAGCCAGCACTAGCCTCCTCTTGAGCAAAGGCCAACAGAACAGACCACAGTCAGAAACACAGCTCTGATCTACAGTAAATCCTAGAAAGACAACTACACCTTTAATCCCCAACTATTAAAATCAGCATATGTATTTTGGACTTTGTGTCACAAACTGGAACTGCTGACAAAGATGGTCCTTCTCAGCTTTTTTTTTTTAATGTAAAAAGATGTTTAAACATCTCACTTGATGCCCTTCAAGGTTCATTGATATCAAAATACAGTCAGCCTAGAGAAACAAAGGAAAGGCCAACTACAGACAAGCTAGTCTCCTGGCCACCTCCCACCACCCTGTTTACAACCAGCACTGTCCTATTCAAGCCACAGACTTAAAAAAGACTGTTTTGCTAACACATTTTCAAAACAGACATATTTCTGTTCTAAAACAACAAATAACCTACCAGATACCAGTTTTAAAAGTGAAAGACAACTTCCAGCATCCCTAGCACAACTCCAGGTCTTCCTTTAAGGTGGTCAGACCATGTCTCTTGTACAAAGTGCCTGCAAGCTTCGATGCCCTACTCATTTTTCCTCTGCAAACTCTTTCCCGTGCTAAATAACAGCCCATCACCAAAATGAAAAGCCTGGCTGGTGCATTTGCATTTTTATCTAGCAGGCAGCGGCATAGCTTTAGCTTGCAAATGAAACAATATAAAGTGGATTAGTGCCCTCCCCATCGGAGCGAACGGGGCCGTTACCTCCCGCGGGCCCCGGGAGCGGGTCGCTGCCGGCCCGTGCGCGGCCGCCTCGGCTCCGCCCGCAACACAACCTCTTTCCTTCCCCCCCCACACCCGCGCCACCCCTCCTCAGCCCAGCCGGAAGCGGGGCGGCGGAGGCAGTGCCCATCAACGGAAGCGCCCGCCCCACTTCCGGGTACGGCCTCAGCAACGGAAGAACGAGGGCAACCGCCCCGCACCCGGAAGCGGGAAAGGGGCGGGGCTACGCCTCATCGGCAACCAATTAAATAGCGAGGCAAGGGGCGGCTTCCGGTTCCGGGAGGATAAAAGGTCGCGCGCGGGGCTGGGCCTTGCAGTCGGTGAGGCGGCGGCAAGGGGGCAGAGTGACTGCGCGCAGGTGAGGGTTGGGGCGGCAGCTTTATTCCCTCTCCAGCCCCTCGTGTCTTCAGGGTGGGGCTAGTGGTCTCTGCTGTCCGCTCAGGCTGGGGAGGGATTTGTATTGGGGCTGCTCTTTGTTTCCTCGGGTCTGTAGTAATGGTGTATGTGGAGGTTTGTGTTGGGGTGTCCCTACTAGTCTGCTTAGGCCCCGAGGAAGGGAGTGAGTGGAAAGAGTCTGTGTTCTTATGGGCTGCATGTGTATATATATGTATGCTTTGGGAAAATAAGTAGGTATTGTGTTTTCTTGGGGCTTCTGTGAAGCAAACACCTAAGATTCCTCAATGTCTTCTCTGAGCTTAGATCCCTCAGTGCTGCTGTTGGGGCTCCCTAGTGTATTAAATCCTTTCAGGCTTATAGCACAGGGGGTAAATGTTAGGGCTCCCTGATGTTCCTGTTCTGTTCCCTCTGAGGAGGGACTCTGACACCTCCATGTCTCTACTCATCTCAGGCTTGGTCAGCATGGCGGATGAGGAGATTGCTGCGCTTGTGGTGGACAATGGCTCTGGCATGTGCAAGGCAGGCTTTGCAGGTGATGATGCCCCCCGTGCTGTGTTTCCCTCCATTGTGGGCCGTCCACGGCATCAGGGTGTCATGGTGGGCATGGGGCAGAAGGACAGTTATGTGGGGGATGAAGCCCAGAGCAAGAGGGGCATCCTCACCCTGAAGTACCCCATTGAGCATGGCATTGTCACCAACTGGGATGACATGGAAAAGATCTGGCACCACACCTTCTACAATGAGCTGCGTGTTGCCCCAGAGGAGCACCCTGTCCTGCTCACTGAGGCCCCCCTGAACCCCAAGGCCAATCGGGAGAAGATGACCCAGATCATGTTTGAGACCTTCAACACCCCAGCTATGTATGTAGCCATCCAGGCTGTGCTGTCCCTCTATGCCTCTGGCCGTACCACCGGCATTGTCATGGACTCAGGGGATGGCGTTACCCACACGGTGCCCATCTATGAAGGCTATGCGCTGCCCCACGCCATCCTGCGTCTAGATTTGGCTGGCCGTGACCTAACCGACTACCTCATGAAGATCCTCACGGAGCGGGGCTACAGCTTCACCACCACGGCTGAGAGAGAGATTGTGCGGGACATCAAGGAGAAGCTCTGCTATGTTGCTCTGGACTTTGAGCAGGAGATGGCCACAGCTGCGTCATCCTCCTCCCTGGAGAAGAGCTATGAGCTGCCTGATGGGCAGGTGATCACCATAGGGAATGAGCGTTTCCGATGCCCTGAGGCCATATTCCAGCCCTCCTTCCTGGGCATGGAGTCCTGTGGTATCCACGAGACCACCTTCAACTCCATTATGAAGTGTGATGTGGACATCCGGAAGGACTTGTATGCTAACACTGTGCTGTCTGGGGGTACCACCATGTACCCTGGCATCGCTGACAGGATGCAGAAGGAGATCACAGCCTTGGCACCCAGCACCATGAAGATCAAGATTATTGCCCCGCCGGAGCGTAAATACTCCGTCTGGATCGGTGGCTCCATCCTGGCGTCTCTCTCCACCTTCCAGCAGATGTGGATCAGCAAGCAGGAGTATGATGAGTCCGGCCCCTCCATCGTCCATCGCAAGTGCTTCTAGAGGGACTGCTGGCAGTCACCTGAGGGCCATCCTTGCCGGGATATGTGCTGGGGCAACCTCCTCCCCTGCTGGACCAGAATTGTTCGACTGTTACTTATTTTAACTAATTTGTTGAGGTACCAAGTAGTGACATGTACAGTTTAATGGCCTGTTAGGCTGTAGTTTTCCTGTGGCTGGCTAGCTGCTCCTCCTCCTCCTTGTGGCTCTTGGGCCTGGGAGTAGCTGGAGGGTTGTTCACTTTTCCTATGTAACACTGATAGGATGACACTAAAGTTAGATTTGTCACATTTAGGTTTGTCACAACTGACTCCTTTGTAGGAAAATAAATAAACTTCATCTTAAAAACTGTAAGATGTTAAATTGCTTTCTTTCATGGTGGGCTGTCCATCTCCTTGCTGCAAAGTATTATTGTGCAATACATGATTTTGGTCTCAAACTAGGTCTGTAGCTGCCTGCTTAAAACTTAAAAATCTGTGTAAATGCTCTACAGATCATGTAATGGCACCTTGTAAATCTGCCTTGTGCTGTTCAGACCATTTTAAGAACTGTTAGGGAGGAAAGCTTGATTGGTATGTGGCTCTTGCAGCCCTTCTGGACTTTCATGGTAACTTGGCTTTTTTTAGAACCCAAGCAGTGCTTCCTGTCAGAAAAACTTGGCGCCTTGGCGCAGGTTTTGGTGGTGGGAGGGGTGGTGGCTTCTCCTTTTCTGGGCGAGGGTGACAAGATGAAGTGGTGGATGGGACTCGACTTGGGAAAGCTGCTCCCTCCTGCCCTGGGGGGTTGTTTCCAAGACCCCCCCTTCCATGGAGAAGGCTGGCAGCCGCCTAATTACGTGTCACTAATTGCAAGGCAGCTCACGGGCACAGACCCGCCGGTGCCGGCCTGCGCCGCGCCCCGGTCCCCTGGGCCGCCCCTGCCTTTAAACCCTCAACCGGCTGCCTATTGGGTCGTTCCGCCTCGTCACGGTAGCACCAGCCAATCAGCAGCTTCCCCACCCCGGAGCTGCCCAGCGTTGCACACCGCCCCCTCCGGCGGACTCAGTCTCCCAGCGTGCACCGCGCATCACTTCCGCCTCTGCCATTCCTGGGATCCCTCGCTGAGCGGCCGTGGGCGCCTTGCTCCGCTGTCTCTGTGCCGGGAAACGTGGCTGTTGGGGGCTGGAGAATGGCCTGGGGGTGGGGGGCCTGCCGGGAGAACCGGGCCGGGCCTTGCTCTTGGATTCCCTTCTTCCTCGGTTGAGTGTTGAGGCTAGCGGGGGTGTTTCTGCCTTCCCTGTAGCTTCAGAAATGCCTTAAGACTGAGGTAGGAACCTAAAAAGCATAACTGTGCGCTGGTCAGGCCTCGTCTTAGTTTCCTCTGTGCTTCCCAGCAAGGGTGAGGCCTGTGAATTTATAAGGTGTTTGTCTGGTTAGCGGAGAGTCTCACTTTGGTTTGTTTTCCTCCCTTTCCAGAGCTTTGTGGCTTTTAGCTCGGCTTGGCTCTGTTCAGGGAGAAGGCTGGAATGTCCCTGCCGGAGTGGCACATCGCGGTGAAGCTGGCGGATCAGCCTCTGGCTCCCAAATCCATCTTACATCTGCCGGAGACGGAGCTGGGAGAATGCCCTCTCGGTGGGTGCAGCATCTCGTACCTCAAGCAGCTCATCACCGGCAAACTGCAGGAGTCCGTCCCAGACCCTGAGCTCATCGGTAGGTGCCTGCGTGGGTCGTGTCAAAGTCCTACCACTTGGGGACACCCTCTTCCTCTGCTCGCCGCGGCTGGGACACAAACATACTTCTGTTAGTGGTGTTGGGTTGGTGGGAAGCCTTGGCACAACCAGACAGCGTGGTGTAGGGGCTCGAAGCATGCTCCAGAGACTCTGCTATGCCGCAGTGGACTTGCTACCTTGTCATTTGAATAGCCTGTGCCGTGTTTGCTTGGGATCACAGTACTCCTGCAGTGGCAGCACCCATAGTAGGAAATCTTATAACTTGCTAACACCATTGTGGCCTTGTGAGATCGTAGAATCACAGGATGGTTTGGGTTTGGGAAGGGACCTTGAAGATCACCTAGTTCCACCCTCCCACCATGGGCAGGGACACCTTCCACTAGCCCAGGTTGCTCAAAGCCCAGTCCAACCTGGCCTTGAACACTGCCAGGGAGGGGGCAGCTACAGCTCCTCTGGGCAGCCAGTGCCAGTGCCTCATCACCCTCACAGGGAAGAATTCCTTTCTTACATCTAGTCTAAATCTCCCCTCTTTCAGTTTAAAACCTTTACCCCTCATACTATCCCTACCCCCCTGATCAGGAGTCTCTCCCCAGCTTTCTTGTACTGGAAGGCCACTAGAAGTTCTCCGTGGAGCCTTCTCTTCTCCAGCTGAACACCCCCAACTCTCTCAGCCTGTCCCCATAAGGGAGGTGCTCCAGACCCTTGATCACTTTCATGGCCTCCTCTGGACCCACTCAATCAGGTCCGTGTTCTTCTGATGTTGGTGCCTGCAGAACTGCAGGAGGGTCTCACGAGAGCAGAGTAGAGGAGGAGAATCCCCTCCCTGTACCTGCTGCCCACACTGCTCTGGGTGCAGCCCAGGGTACTGTTGGCTTTCTGGGCTGTGAGCGCACGTTGCTGGCTCACAGTCAGTTTTCCATCCATTAATCCCCCAAATACTTCTCCTTGGGGCTGCTCTCAATCCACTCATGGCCCAGCCTGGATTGTGTTTGGGATTGCCCCGATCCATGGGCAGGACCTTGCCCTTAGCCTTGCTGAACTCCATGAGGTTTGCACGTCCCACCTCTCCAGCCTGTCCAGGTCCCTCTGGATGGATCCCTTCCCTCCAGCTTGTCACCCCACCACACAGCTTGGTGTGATCGTTGAACTTGCTGAGGTTGCACTCTACCTCACTGTCCATGTCACCAGAAAGATGTTAAACAGCGCCAGTCCCAACCCTGACCCCTGAGGATGCCACTTGTCACTGCTCTCCACTTGGACATCGAGCCACTGACCACAACTCTTTGAGTGTGACCATCCAGCCAGTTCCTTACCCACTAAGTGGTCCATCCATCAAATCCATGTCTCTCCAATTTAGAGACAAGGGTGTCATGTGGGACAGTGTCAAAGACTTTGCACAAGTCCAGGTAGATGATGTCCTTGTCCACCAACACTGTAACCCCATTGTAGAAGGCCACCAAACTTGTCAGACAGGATTTGCTCTTGGTGAAGCCATGTTAGCTGTCACCAGTCACCTCCTTATTTTCCATGTGCCCCAACATATTTTCCAGGAGGATCCATGCCATGATCTTGCTGGGTACAGAGGTGACACTGACTGTAGTTCCCTGGTTGTCTTTTTTTCCCTTTTTAAAAATAGGGGTTATGTTTCCCCTTTTCCAATCAGGAGGACCTTCACTGTACTGCCATGACTTCTCCAATATGATGGTAAGTGGCTGAGCCACTTCATCTACCAGTTCCCTCAGGACCCATAGATGCATCTCATCGGGTCCCATGGACTTTGCACACCTTCAGGTTCCTTGGATGGTTTTGAATCCACTCTTCTTCTACAGTGGATGGTTCTTCATTCTCCCAGTCCCTGCCTTTGCCTTCTGCAACCGGGGTGGTGTTGCTGGAGCCCTCGCTGGTGATGACTGAGGCAACAAAGTCATTGAGGACCTCAGCCTTTTCCATATCCCAGGTCACTCAAGTCTCCCTTTTCCTTCCAGAGAGGGCCCACATTTTCCCTAGTCTTCCATTTATCACCGACATACCTGTAAAAGCTTTTTTTTGTTACCCTTGATGTCTCTGGCCAGATTTAATTCTGTCAGTGCTCTGGCCCTCCTAACCTGATCCCTGGCTACCCAGATTGTTTCTCTGTATTCCTCTGTGTTCTTGCTTCCACCCTCTATAGGATCTCTTATGAGAACTGTGAGAGAGGTTGGCTTTTCTAAAGGAGGTGGCAATGTTGCAGCTTACAATATCATGTTCTGTGAATCTCAGTTCCATGATTTCCTCCCTGAATCTCCATAACTTCCCTGCATTATGAAGTCCCTGTGCTGCTAACCAGCTGAAGCAGCTACACATGTGGACAAATAACCCCCAGACAGTCCTGCCTTACAGACCCTGGGCCCTTTCTGAGCATGCCATAGATGTTTATATTTAGGTGTTTCTCTCTCCTAGATCTGATCTACTGTGGCCGTAAGCTGAGGGATGACCAGACACTTGATTTTTATGGCATCCAGTCTGGCTCCACTGTTCATGTCCTGCGCAAATCCTGGCCTGAACCTGATCAGAAGCCAGGTGAGGAGGAGACAGCGTGAGTTACTGCTTAGATCTCCTCGGGATGTGCTTGGTGTGGGTCCCTTGTGACTGAGGAGCGGCTGCTCTTGTGATTTGTTTCTGGGAGGCTGATGTGAGGTTTGCAGGAGGAATTGATCGATATGTTTGTGTGAGAACTCTCCACCCCTAACAGCAGCAAATGGGTGTTAGGTTTTCTTGCTGATGGGAGAGTTAAGGAATGAGCTATGTAATGTGGAGGGTGAATATTCCTTAAATGACTGTAATCAATTATAGGGTGTTGCCAGAGAATCAGGAACAAAGCGACTGGTTACTCAACTCGAGGGATGAGCAGGCTTGTGTGTGTTCCTAGTCTGCCTGACTGTAGAATAAGATGGGTTAGTTTAGAGTTGTTACTTTAATACAGCTCCTTTTGTACGTGTAGGAGAATATCTGTATATTTTTATATGTCTGGAAGGTGTGAGTGCAGTTACTTGTTACACTGTGGTAACTGTACCGAGATTCACAGTCATTAGTCTGTGCCCTTCCTCTCTGGTTTAGCTGAATCCAGGGACATTAAAGAATCACCACTGCTTTTGCAGCATGGAAGTCCCAGTGGCATATAAAATGGCTAGTAACACTGTCAGGGGAGAAATGTGTTTTGTTCTGTTGTTTTTCCTCCCTACAGAGCCTGTGGATAAAGTGGCAGCAGTACGGGAGTTCCGGGTCCTTCACACTGCCCTGCACAGCAGTCCTGCCTACAGAGATGCAGTGAGTGGGGCTTCATTGTGTGCTGTCTGGATGTCTTTTTGTCTGTCCCCACTTTGTGAAGAGAGTCTCATGGTGGAGCCTCATTGTGCAACACCACTGATCAGCTCTGATTTCTCTGGCAGGTCTTCAAAATGCTGGGGAACAAGGAGTCACTGGATCAGATCATTGTAGCTACTCCCGGCCTCAGCAGCGATCCTGTTGCTTTGGGTGAGTCCAGATGTGACCCAGAGGCTCTGAGGAAAGCCAGATAAAGATAGTCTGTGTTTTAATACCTGGCATGGGGAAGGGAGATTTTGCCTTCTCAAAGTGCCTTTCAGTTCCTTTGTGGAGCATAAGAGTAAGTGTCTGCTCAGGTCTCAGAGCTGTGCTCCCTTGGTGATGTTGGGGACCGATGCTGGCTTCAAAAGGATTAGGGCACATGGAACCCAAAGAAGAGCAGTGGGGATGGCTGCTTTCTCCCTGCTGCAAAGTGTTAATTCAATCTAGTTTGCTTGTTCTGGCCTGGGGTGTGACTACCATTTTTGGCACATTGCTGTGAGGCAGGTGGAATATGGGATGCAGTCACAACCGGGCTGGAGTGACCTGTGTGCCAGATTTGATCCTGCCCTTAAGGTGAAGCTGTCTGTGCTACAGCGCAGCCCCTGGGATCTGCTGGGAAAGCCTCATCCCTTGGGTGTGTGGCTATGATTGAGAGTCTCTCCAGGAAGATGCAAGAGGTTTCAGGGAGAACAATAATAGGGTATTTATGGTGTCTGCTAGTGACTCAGTTCCTGAAAAACAATTATTTTGGTTTTTCCCATGGCTTTTGTTTGATTGACTACTGTTTCTTGTATCCTGTCTCCTACTCATTATGTTTCCTGGTCCCTCCCAGGAGTCCTACAGGACAAGGATCTCTTTTCAGTATTTGCAGACCCCAGCATGCTAGACACGTAAGTTTACGTAAGCTGGTGCAGTGACTAAGCAATGCCTTTGTTGCTCTGTTGTATAGACTGGTGCTTGACGACTTCTCTGGGTGGGAGAGTTTTGCTCCTGCCTGCCAGTACAGATACACCAGGCCAGAGATTCAGGGTAGGACACTTCTTCAGCAGCTGGAAGGAGGGAGCTGATACTTCAATACACATCCTCCTCCACGGTTGGATTAAACCAAAGGATATTTAGTGGGAGACAGGGCCATCATCCCCTCCAGATTATGGGTTCAAATCTGGATGGTTGCTCACAGCAGAGAGTTGCTCCCACGAGAGCACACGGGAGGGTCAGCGTGGGGTTGAGAAGGAGCCCCAGCTCCTTCAGCTGTGTGAAACAATGTGGGGAGGTGTTTGTTGCTGGACAGCCAAAAGCAGTGGTGGTGGTGCAGCCACTGGGAATGGCTATGCCTTAAGATCTTTGCCATTACCAAGCTGCTGATTTCTTAATTTCTCTGAGTACTCAATTCATTCTTTCACTCTTTCTCTCTAGGCTGATCCCAGCTCACCCTGCACTTGTGAATGCCATTGTCCTTGTCCTGCATTCAGTGGCTGGCAGCACCCCACTCCCAGCCCCAGAGACATCCTCCCGAGGCATGTCCTCTGGCTCCTACCGGGACATGCCAGGTACGATCAGCCACGTGGGTGACTGGGGAACCTGCAGAAATGCCACGCTGCAGGGTTTGCAGACAAATTTGTGCTCTACTGACACAGTCATCCCCAGGCTGTAAGGAAGAGAAGTTTGGGTTCCTGAACTAGAAACACGCTGTGGTTTATAGATTTTGCACTTTGTGAGATTCATGTGGGACACTTTGGCCTCAGAGCCTCTCCCAACCAAGTGTGTATAATAACTGTTGGTAGCAGAGTGCTGTGGCCTCTGTTCTGTGCAAATGTTAGGCCTGACCTGCCTTCCACTGACCTGCTGCACATGAACTTGTCAGTGCCAAGGTCTCTGTCCTAACCAGTGCGTTAGCTGGGGCTGAGCCTGGCTGCATGGCCAAGGACTCCACAAGATTCTCATCTGGTGCCTAATTCCTGCCAGTGCCCAGTTTTCTGCATCTGTCAATTCTCGTTTCTGTTGCAGGTGGCTTTCTGTTTGAAGGTCTCTCTGATGATGAAGATGACTTCCACCAGGTAAGCGGCCAGATTGAGTGGAACGTCTCTTTTGGGATTGCAATATGGCTTTAACTTGTAGCCCTTAAAGTCTTGAAAGGTTGTCTCTCTGTCTCATGAATGGCACGAGCTGCTCTGGCTCCTAGGGGTATTGTGGAAACAAACATATTGATTGAGCCATGCTTGGTTGCTGTTCATGGTAGGATTTCCTTCAGTGCTGAGCTAGGGTCACGACAGAAGACTGCAGAAGCACAACTTGGAACAGCATTTGTCCTCAGAGTAAACACCTTCATAGCCAGATTCACAGATCATCTAGCCCAACCATTAACCTCACACTGACTGTTCTCAGAGATAGCTGTGCACAGATGAGCGTGGCTGAGAAACATGGGAGTGTTAGTCCCTGCCCTTCTTCTGCAATGTAGGGAGGTTCTCCTCTCCAAAGGACAAAGTTTTTTATAAGAGAAATTGCATATTTAGGCTGAAAAAGTGCTGGTCAACAGTCAATTGTTTTATTACAGGCTACTAACACTTTGTTTGCAAGCTGATGGATGATATATTAAAAGGTTTACTGCCAGTTTCTGTATCTTTGTAATAGCTGAGTTTGTGGAAAAAGCCCATCCTGTTCTGTCATGTTTATTTTTTAAAAGTTTCACACTTCTGAGTTTCAAGTACTGTAGGGAAGGGATCCCTGGAATGACCACATGACCCAGATTTTACTGGGATGTGGACACCAACATCAGAGGTGTGGTTTTTTGTTTTGTTTTTTTTTCCTCCATGCAGAGCACAAGATCTACACCATCCAGCAGCACTTCTGGTTCCCGCCCAGCTTCCCTTGGCTACGCCGGGGCTGCTGGACCCCGGCCGATCACCCAGAGCGAGCTGGCGACTGCACTGGCACTGGCAAGCACCCCAGAGAGCAGCTCCCACACACCCACCCCTGGCACCCAGGTACAATAGCAGCACAGCAGGTAGGGAGATCCTCCTGGGCCATAAAACCAGCACTTGACCGAGCACGAGCCCTGGTCAGGTCTGGGAGCTCTTGCTGCTTTATTTTTTTATGGCTGAGTTCTCTTCTACAGGGGCTCGAGGAGGCCTGATGGTGGGGTGCAGCTCTGGTTCCTGTGACAAGTATTCTCCTGATCCATGTGCAACTTATTTCCTCCTAGGGTCACTCCTCTGGGACCTCCCCAATGTCATCCAGTGTCCAGTCAGGAACACCCATCACCAACGACCTCTTCAGCCAGGCCTTGCAGCATGCCCTGCAGGCCTCAGGGCAGCCCAGCCTGCAGGTCAGTGCCACAGCCTCTGCCTTCGGGAGCCTGTGAAAGCCCCCTATCACATCCAGTGTTGCAGGGTGGAGACGGTTTTTCCACCTGCCTCATGTAGCAGAACATTTAAGCTGAAAGGGGCATCACTGAAGAAGTGCTTCTTGCAGGAGATGTGATAGACTGATGCAAAAGTATTGGGTGGAAGTGGGATGGTGGATTTGGGGAGTTTGCAGCAAGACTTTGAGCTTTCAAGATCTGTTTGCACACTTAGCGTTGCACTTGCGAGCTAGAGAGAGGTGGGAGAATGCAGCATGGAAGAGCGGGCTGTGGAGAAGGCTGTTTTGTTTCCGCTTGGACTCTTGCACCTACCCTTAGCTTCTTTTTATTTTTCCCTGTCTGTAGAGCCAGTGGCAACCACAGCTTCAGCAGCTGCGAGACATGGGCATACATGATGATGAGTTAAGTCTCCGAGCCCTGCAGGCCACTGGAGGGGACATTCAGGCTGCCCTGGAGCTCATCTTTGCTGGTGGGGCTCCCTAGCTTTTGGGGCAGAAGAGGCTGGACTGGTGAGTTGCATTGAGGCAGCTGTGACGTTCCTTGGTCTGGGACTTGGCACTGAAACTTCTCTGCGCTGGGGTTCCTCTCTCCAGCATGAAGTAGTTGGGGTGGCTGCTCCTTTCCTTGCAGGTGGGCACTGTGCTCCTGTTTGAGAGCACTGGCTGTGCTGAGGGCAGCTCCTCCAGCTCCAGAGACCTCTCTCCACCTCCTTCTTCTGGCCACCAGAGATGAGACCTCAGAACTTTGTCCAGCACTGAGAAAGAGGTGGCTCTGTGTGTTGGAGAGATGAGGCACCTCCAGTTCCTCAGTCTTAGATCTGTTTACACGTTCTCCTGCCCATTGTTTCATTCCTGCCCTCCTGACATGCCTCAGTCTATTTTGTTTTGCTGTTGTGGCCCCTCTGTGTTTAACTGTATTAAATGGACTGTATTCACTTGCCTGTTGTTTGGGTTGTGGTCTGTCCGGGGTTGAGTTCCAGATCTGCGAGGCGATGTGCTCATTGTGGGAAGGAAACTGGCGAAGATGCTTTGCCTGTTGTAGGACTGTTGTTCCTCGGCAGAGGGCACTCCTCTTACTGAGCAAAGCTGCGTCTGGTAAGGGAGCAGTGTTTGTGGTGTAGCTGACCTGCACAGCCATCCTGCCATGAGTTAGGCCAATACAAAAGAGCTATTTGTGTTACAAGTACTCTCCAAGAAGGTGCTGCAGAGAAGCAGCATGTCTCCTTTTTAGCTGAAACCTGCTTGTTCTCAGTTGTGTGGGGTGAAGCTGGTAGAATCCTGCAAGCTGACAAGAACAAGGGCACAGGTGCAGGAGTTCATGGCCATCACAAGGTGACAGTAAAAAAAAAAAAAGAAGGGTTGATGCAGTTGCCAGAGAGTGTGAGATGCTGCCAAATGTCTTGGAAGAAATGCCTTGTCTCTGACACAGGTTAGTCTGGCTGCAGCCTGTGTTTTCCAAAGTGTCTTCTCATCCTGGGGGCCACATTGGAGGTGCCTGGGACCTGAGCTGCAAAGACAATCAAAGTCATTTGCCTGTAATTACAGTCAGTGGGAACTGAGTGGAGCCAGAATCAGAGCTGGACCTGGCTTCACTCTGATTGTTCCATTGAGATTAACAAGGCGTGAAAATGAGAACTGGTTTGCCTGAAATGCCACCATGCATTACTAGGGAAGCTAAAAGTAGAAAATGCTTTCCTGCCTTCAGGCTGCCTGTGCTCCCCTCTTAATTCCTCTCCAAGCTCTACAATCCCTTGCTGATACGATCTCCACTATCACCCAGCAAATACTGGATTGTTCTCTGCAGGGTAGCCCATTGACTGATAGCCTTTAATCCTTTCTGGAGGATTAAGTCTCTCAGGAGGGAGGGACTGTTTTTATTTTTCAGTATGTTGGAGATAAGATGTGATAGACATAACCAGCTTTCCTGACTTGATACACCCTTCCGGGTTACTGCCCTCATTATACAGTTTGGAAACCCACTCCAGATGATGGCTATGATTTTACATGTATGAAAACTGATTAATTTCTTCCCATCCCCGGCACCTTCACCTATTGCTTTGCTGGGGGAGTGGACAGCATATGCACAGCATCCTCCCTCCCTTCCCCTGCTGTCAACCCGCAATCCTCCCAGGCTGGCTAAGGATTAGCTGTATCGCAGATGCTGCTGCCCAAAGCTGGAAAGCATTTGCAGGCTCTCCCAGACCTGCTCAGGGCTAGCAGGACTTGCTCTGTGACAAGGGTGACTAGTTTGCATTGCTGTACCATGTCAATTCTTAGTTTAGGCCAGCTTGGGGTTATTGGTGTCCCAAATGGTATTTCTTTCCTGTCCTGATTTAAAGGGTCACTTTATTGACCCACGTTTTGTATTAAGTAGCTTCTTCTGTCATAATGGCTATTTCTGCTTCTCCCTGTATGCCCAGGTAATTGAGAATTGGTTGGATGTTTTGTATGGAAAGAACTTTTTTCCAAGTTTTCTCATAAATTGTGTTACTTGGCTTGGAGTACCACATCAGACACATTCTCTGTCTGAACTGGCTATAGCAGAGAAGAACTTGGCACCGATGTTGTTCACGATGCGACTGATGCGTGCGCTTCGCTTCCCTCATCTCGCCCGCCTTTGGCTGCCTAGAATAGACGTGCTCAGCAACCAGGCAAATTTAGAGATGCAGGGATGGGAAGAGAGTCTCTGCCTGGCACCTGCAGGGTTAGTAATGGAAGAGGAGGAGGAAGGGAAACTTTGATGCAGGAGCTCCTGTAGGAGAGTGGAAGCTCAGAAATCCTCAGAACTGTCTCTGCAGCAGCCAGGTGAGCGCTGCCCTCCCCCCTGCTCTAACGGCCGCGTGCCTTCTGCCTCCCAACTTTGAGATGAAAGTGATGCTGGCAACTACCTCCACACACAGAGAGAGCTCAGCCAGCACAGCCTCTGCCAAGGGGGAGAAACCAGCCGGGGGGAGGCTGCAGGAGGCACCCGCTCGTTTGGAGAGGCCCTGTGCCTGGGGTTAGCAGCCTAAATGTGGCTTATGGGCATGGAGCATGACATCTCTTGTCCGAGCCACTTGTCCCGACTTCTGCAGTCATTGGAGGAGCCTGTATCCCAAGAGAGGTATTGAACAAAGCTGGAACGACTCTGGGAGATGCTGGTATCCGTTGTTTGCTGAGAAAGCAGCTAAGTCTAGACGCTAATTTGTCAGTGGCTGAACAGAACAGATTCTGCTCTTTATGAGCAAATTGCAGTGCACTATCTCCCGCCTGCCTGTTCCTTGTGGTCCCTCTCTGGTGCCACTGCCCTGACACCTTCCCCTCCTCATGCACCAGCTTTGGTTGCCCCTTCCATGTTTGGGTTCGAGGTGCGTCCGTTCTTGCTGGGACTGGGCTTGTCAGTATCCTGCCTGTGTACCCAACCTCCACCACGCTCTGTTCGCCAGCCAAGCATCTGTGGCCTGACCGCCTCACCGGCACTGCGGCAGGAGCAGGCTGGGAGGGGCTTGGCTGACCCTTTGGAAGCGGTGGAGGTCAGACCACGGTTCCCCAACGTAAGCGCTTTCAGTAGGGACTTTCTGGTTCTGACATCAAAGATAAATTTTTGGTTCACTTACTTCCTTTGCCTGTAGTGAAGCTGACAAGGGAAGCAGTAACAGCGGGTGTTTTCAGTAGTAATGCTAGCAGCTGTTCGTACTGTGTTTTCAGTAATCTTGTTATTTGTTCTGGAGCTTGACTGTCAATGCTGGTGCATTGTGGACACCTGCAGAGGTTGGCGGTTTGGCTGCCATCTAAGCCCTTCACTGTATGTCCTCTGCTTTTCTACTTTGGCCACCTTGGTGGTTTTTTCACCATTTCCGCCTTGTCTCTTTCTGCCTAAGACAGTTCTGAGCTGACTGTTTCCACAAGAAGCAAAGTGGCGTTTGTGTGGGGGTGATTTTCCAGCAAAAGGGTGACATGAAGATGGAGCAGAATCTCCCAGGCTTCACGTCCCTGATGGCTTTTGCAGTATCTCAGCCTGTGTGACTGCCCACCTCCATCCTCCTCTGCTTTCACAACAATGCTGGAGCCTTCCTATGTGAAGTGAACACAACCAGCAAGATCTATCCCAGGAGCAGACGTTGAGGTATTAATTGTTTATGTGCAGACACAGTCTCTCTGGTGTGGGCATGCTTGGGTGGTTTGTTGGATCAGATCCTAAACTGTCAAAGTTTCAAGCTCTTCAGCCTTGATTTCTGACTTCAAATGACTAGTGTTGGAGAGATTTCCCCTCATCCTCCCACATGCCTCCAGTGTTTCAGGATAAATGTTTCTTTCTTGCTCCCTTAGTCAAACAGAGGCTCTGAGTGTCCCCTGCTTGCAGGACCCTGGAACAGGAAGCAGTTCCCTGTCTGGGCAAGGCAGCAGAGCAGCTTAAACCAGGGTTGTTGTTTTGCCCAAATCCATCCACAAACAACTGTTCAGGGGCCAGAGGACTGACCATCACAGTGCTCCCGGTCATCACAGACGTCTGTACATTGTTCTCTCCAGCACAGTGCGGGGCTACACACCTGGGCACCCCAGCTCCTCTCTGGCACATTAATTCAGAAGATCGATGAAGGTGACTTTCTCCAGTGCTCCAGCATGCAGCATCTCAGCGTCTCGCTCAGGGTTTGCTAGGCCAGGAGTAACGTTGGGCAGCCCGGCAGGATACATCCATGTGAACAGCAGCAGGGAACTTGTCTGGCAGAGCCCTTGCCCATCAGCTTGCTTTCTCTGCAAAGGGCTCTGTGGTTTCCTGGCTGCTTTCAGCTTTGTCCTTGTGGAGAATGCCAAAGTGCCAGGAAACACATAATTTTTTTTTTTTCTTCTTAAGAGTTAGCTTTGTGCTGGTTGAGTGAGCTGAACACTTTGGCCGAGGGGGACAAGCTAGTGCCAGGGCAAAAGGAAGAGGGGGCAGTGGGACCTGGTGGGGTTTCCTTGGCAATAACAAAATCTTGGTCTTGCTCTTTCTCAGGCAAACTTTCAAGGAAGGAGGAAAGAATTTTCCTGATGCTGGGACAACTGATCAGGATTAAGGTGAGAGTCTGCAGATCAGGGCAGGTGTTACAGTGCAGCTTTCTGTGGGACTCAGTCCCTTTCCTGGCATGAATTGACATTTTTCTTTGACGAAAGGGGAGCTCTGTGACTTTAGTTATCAAAGCATCCTTTTAACAGAACTGTGTTTTGCACAACTAAGAGTCATGGATACTAACTGAAGAACAGCACAATAAATCAGTGTGGTTTTAAGACAACTGGCTCTATTTTAACTTGGTGAAAGCAGAAATGTACTGAAAATGTCACACCATGAAAATACTTCTATTTCCTGTAGTTTCTTTTATATTTATAGTATTCTAATATTTATAAATGACAGTGTTTATAAATAATCCTTTGATTTATAGTGGTACATGTAGTTCTAGTTTTGTCTTACAAGGATGCTTGAGCTTAAGAATATGGTAAGCAAAAGGGAGGTTAATGGGGAAGAAAATAAAGATCCCCTGATATATCCTTTGAAGTCAAGACAATGGCTGAGCCACTGACTTCAAACATGAAGCTTCCTGACTTCCCTTCCTCTTGAGCTGAGCCTGGAAACTTAAAACAAAAAAACCCTCAAAGCTCTTAAGGTGAGGCTGGGGATTTCATGAGCATTTCTGACCACACAGTCTCTCTAGCTGACTTCTGGGTGTTCCAGGCTTCCAGATCTCAGAATGGTTGTCCCCAAATCACTTTTTTCTCTTCCCTCCTACTACTACTCAACTAAATATCTTGCTGATTTAAGAGCATGGTCCACTTGTTTAGCGGGGTGCATTAGTTTAGGTGTTGAGTTTGAGAGAGAAGATGGAGAGCTATGGAGTTCAGGGGTGATAAAAACATCACATCAGTTATGCAGGGTCAGAGCCAGCATCCCTTGTCTTCCTGCAATGGCCAATAACAGATGTTGCAGAAAAACTTTAGAACAGGGTGAGCAGAGAAAGATCCATCTCTAATAGATTTTTTTCCAGCATCCAATCACCTGGGGTTTAGGGACTTTTAGAGCTGGATATGGAGTGCTAATAGTTAACAGACCCCACACAACTTTTTTCTTTAAACACAGATAAACTTGTAGCTTCCATGCCAGCCCACAGGAAGGAGTTCTGTGGTTTAGTCACAGGTTCACAGCCCGTGATGCACAAGAGTGTTCAGCAGCTGGAAGGAAGAGATGACGTGCAGCTGTGAGACTGTGGCACAGGTAACTTCTGGGATGTCACACTCTAAAGGGGTGGCAGTGGTCCCAGTAAAGCTCTGGAGTTTAATGTTTGGGTGCCTGCGACTGCTGTGGCCACTGAAGCAGCAAGAAGTGACAAAGATAGCTAGGGCAGTTGGGCAGTCAGGAGTAAAATTGTCACTTAATCTTGCTACCGCAGAAAGGGTTGTTAATGACAGCAGAGCTCTGTAATCCCCCAGCAATGCTCAGCGTGCTGCCCTGGTATCCTGCAGAGCAGACTCCAAACTGTTTACCTTTGTGTTAATTGGTTTGTTTGCATAAGGCCCTGTTCAGGGAAGGGAGAGAGTGCTGACCATCCTGTCTCAGGAGTCATTTCTGAGCCGTCGCTCCCTGGCATTAAATGCTTTTATCCCAAAGAATCCTCAGTTACGCATAATTTAATCATCCCATGGATCCTGCCAGCTGGTGTCTGGTCATGCAAGTTCATGTCCATTTATTTTTCCTTTGCCTCATTTTTTTTATTCTTCTTTTCCTCCCCTCCCAAAGAGTCTGTGACCTGGTTGCTGATGGTTTCCTGCAGTTGCTTTCCTGAATGAGCTGTGTGGATATGTAATAACCAGGAAGCAGGTGAGAGGCATGAAGCCCTGCACAAGGAAGGGTGGATAGGAGGCAGGAAGAAAGATTTGCTCTTCCCTGCCCAGGGCAGTGTCCCTTTCAAGAATTTGAGAGGTCACAGGGAAAAATAAGTCAAACAGGTCTAGCACACAGTGAGATCCTGAGCCGATTCCATGCTCCTGCTGGAAGACATGGAGGGCTTCCTGTGTCTGATGGAAGGAGAAAACAGTGCATCTGGGGTGCTGAGCCTTTGTGTAACCAGGCAGGCTCCCAGTTTAGAGCCAAGGACAGTGCGGAACTGCAGACACTTATCTTCTGCGTCATTTGGCCCAGGGTTGGCTAGCAGAGGCCAAAATAGGAGGGAGGAGAAGGAGATAGACCACTTCTTAGATGTCTCTCCCTTCCTGGCGAGACAGATATCGCTGCTGGAAGTACTTGAACACTACAAGGTCAACTTAATACCTTTAAAATAGTTTACTTTTCTGAGCAGCCTCCACTTAATCTTATGTGCCTGGCCAGGTTGTAAGAGGTTCTGTTGGCATTTTTCCCAGCAGCAACTTGAAATGGCTTCTTGGGAACCAGGTGACTTGCTTTGATTCCTCAGAGAACAGTGTGGACTTAAATTCCTACCCATATTATGGCAGGGGATGGGAGAGCAGGTTGCAGAGAGTGAACTTTAACTTGTGTGTTACCAGGAGGAATTTGTGGATTTAATGGAGCTGGTCAAGGGGGCTTATAAGCTTGTTTATGGAGTGGTGGGTGCTGCGCCCTTAGGGCCATTCAGAGCAGCTGGCAGATCTAGGAATCATTATTGCTGAAGAGGCTGCTTTGCCCACTGCTGAAGCGTAGCCATTCCTGCAGGAGAGCGTGGTAGCAGCTCTGCACCACATGATGATGCTGCCCTGAAATCCAGGCCCTGCCAGGAAGCAGAGGAGCACAGCAGTCAAGAAAAGAAATACCAAGAGTTTCAGGTAAGCAAAACGCAGTCTGGCCTGCTGGGCCCTTGTAGGGCAACAGAGCTGACATGCTGTGCAGCATTAACGTATCAATATGCAGCTCTTGTGGTGGGAGTGCAGTAGATCAATCTCAACAAAGCAACTTATTTCTGTTCTTTTTTTGTTTTAACTTTCTCTTAATTGGGTAGGACTCCACGCTGGATTTTATTTACTCTCCCTAAAGCTTTTGGCACCCCTGTCTGAGTCTGTGTCATTGACGTGCATCTGTTTTACCTCCTTTCCTGCTCGTGAGTTCTCGCTGAATTACTGTTGACAGTGCTGCTTGTTAATGTGACAAGCATCTAGGTGAAATGTGTTTGCCAACCAAATGGCTGTTTGTGACGGAAAGGCTGAGGTGTGGTTTGGAGTCATCTAGATGATGCAAGTTTGTGGCTAGTCCTCAGGCAGGACCTCTGCGAGCTGCTGTGACCAGTGAATAGCGTGGTGAAGCTCTGGTCTGGGAGGTCCTGCCTGGGGTGAGCCCCAGGGGTTTCCTCAGCTGCAGAGGGGAAAGCACTGAAGAAGGGGAGTCCCAGATAGGGGTTTTGTGCTGCTCTTTGGGGAGTTGAGTGTGAGGTTGCTCTGCCACAGGTTTCCTTTGGCAAGTCAGTGGGGTTGATCTACTGGAAAAAAGATGTGCTGGGGCACCTGGTTCCTTTACCCCTTCTCTGATTCTCACTTTTAAAGCCCTGTGGGTGGCATTTAGCACATTAAGTGACACTTCTTGGGGCAATAGATTTACTGTGCTGTCCTTCAGTATCGTGGCAGCACTGAGAGGACAAGGTGTACCAACTGATGAGCTTCCCCAGACTCATTCTGACAGCCACAGCTGATGGAGATGAACTTGTGTGAAAACAGCATGCCGGGAGAGGCTGAAGGGTTAACGGCCATTGCTGGGCTGGGGTTTTGGGAGGGGATGGTTGAGATTGTGGTAGCTGTCTGCAAGGAATGTGAGTTGGGGGACAGGATTTGTGTGTTGACAGCAGAATGCATCAGCTTGCTGATAAATGTTCCACTTTGCTTCCTTCCCACCTCACTTTGTCATCTGAGGACTGACAGACCTGTTGGTCAGTGCCAAAAGAAACAGTGAGTGGAATTTCACTTTTTTCGTCTCAAAGTTCATGTTTATAAGTCTTCTTGTTCCCAAAGGCAAAATGCAAGGGGTAAGAAATAGAAGCTCTGATTTTCCATCCTACAGTCCATCCTACATCAGGGTCCCCGCACAGGCAGGGTTTGACAGAGGATTTCCCATACTCTGTGTCAAAACATGCAGCCTGCCCGTCTCGTCTAGGGAGGGACTTCGGAAACACCTGCACACACGTGGCATGACGGACCTGGTGAACATCCTGAGCCCTTTGTGCCATGTTCAGAAAGGTCCCTCTGTGTTGAAAAAGGTTGCTTTTTGTACTGTTCTGAAACTGCCATGGCTGATAATAGCCAGAGACTGAGATGTGCCTCTCAGGTTTCTGCAAGAGATGTCACAACAGAGACAAGAACTTGCCTGGCTTTCACAGGGATAAGAATGTTTGTGGTGTTGACATTTTTTTTTCCATGGAAGACTTGTCTGTGTTCAAACTCATTACGCCTATTGGCTGTTTCTCAGGGTCACATTCCTGACCTTAGCAGAAGGTAATTGATGTGTTTGTGTGAATGATGTTCTAACATACCTGCTCTTCTCTTGCGAAAAGATGACAACTAAAATGGGAGATTTCATAATAGACTGCCTGGGCCACAAACATTCAAGCAGTCTGTCTCCTCTGCAGTGATGATAAAACTGTTCCTCTTAAGGAAAATCTGTGCTTTATGATTTTTACAAGATCCTTGGAGGAAGCTGCCTCCTGATCTGTGTTGGAACGGAGTAGCACGACCTGGAAAAAACTGCACATAATCTGCACTGTGGAATTTTTGATACTTGAGTGAAGCAGACGGAAACCTCTTCAGGAGGGGGCCGAGCGGGGAGTTCGTGCCTGGAATGTGATCACTTGTGTACGCATTCCTTGTCGGGTAGTGGGGGACATGGCATGTGGCTGAGCAGGTCCTGAGCAGACTCTCCGAAGTGTTTGCCTGCTCTGGGACGGGTGTGTGTGTACTTAATGCACAGCGGGTTTCTGGCTGTCTTCAGGGCACCGTTCTGTCTTCAGCACCTCCTGCAAACTGGTACAGGGTTGGAGCAACCTTGAAATCAGCTCTACCCTTCTCCCAAGCGTTCAAGCTGTGCTGCTTCCTGATCAAATGTGTGCAGCATTGCACTGTGCTGCTTTGTATGTCTGTGGAACAGCCCTGCCCATGGGGGAGCTTGGGATGGGGTTATTTTCCTAATCCGTTACACAGTGTGTGTCCCGTCGTTCCCTTGACCCTCTAGATGTTGTCTGCTTGTTGAAGTTATTTTCCCAATATTGTCCTATGCAATGATCCAGTGTTTCTGCGTTTGTGGGTGTCAGGCTCACCCCAGATGATCAGTCACTTTGCTGCCCTGAAGGAGCTTGTGAGAGAAAAGGATGCTAAGGGGAGCTGTAGCTTCTGGAGGTAGCAAAGGCGTTTGGGTGAAAGCTCAGTTTTTATGAAGACCATTCATTTGAAGAGCTGTAACCAGCATTGTGGGTGTGATGCTCCTGTATACTTGCGTGTTCCAACACTGTCGCTTTTTTTTCTCCCCTGCAGCGGGCTCCTTTGCTGGTGAGCTGCATGCAGAGATCTCACACAGCTTTGTATTTATTTGATACAAACCAAGCTGTCTGAGTCTCTTGCTTAGCAAAAACAAGAGGTGCTACAGCATCATTCTGATTCCAGGACTACAATACACTCATGTTCATGGGATATCCTGGCTTCTGGTCTAGGAGATGGAGTGGTATCACGTGTTGAAATAGAAAGAGCCCAGAGCTGAGCACTTCCAAAGTTTTGGGGGAGTTTGAAGCTGAATTTTATACACAGGAGCTGTATTTAGCTGTAGGTGGAAAAAAAAACCCAAAAAGCTAACCATGCAGGGACCCCAGCTGTGTGTGTTAGGGGCAAGGAAAGGGAAAAGCAAAGGATTTACTGTTCTAATAAGACAGAAACCCTTCTCTGATCAGAACCCTTCTGTGTTTCCAGTTGGCAACTTTGTCAAGAGTGGGAGTTGAAAGCCAGTTACCCAGCCCACCAGCTGCATCGCATCATAAAAGGCAAAGCAGATAATAACGCGCTTAAGTCTCATAGTGTAGCCCAAATTTGGGGTGCACAACGCAAAGTCCCCGTATTTATTAAGGAACCAGTATGATTTGTGTAGCTTAGGCTGTTGATTTACAAATGACGTTTCTTTTTCACTCTTGACTGTGTGAAAGAGTCTTAGTGAATTAAATGTTTTTCAGGAAGCCTGTTGTGCAAGAAAACAAATGATAACAGGGTTTAGCACCTCTGGGAGCAACGGGGCAGGTAGGGAAATACAGGCACCTCTGGGGGAAAATGGGCAGTTGTTTCGAGGTGAGCAGGAATGCAAAATGGTTCAAGGCTGGGAATCATCATGTTCAGAAGTGAAAAACCAGAATGATCTCTATGTTATCACACTGTAATTACCCAAGCAGATATTTGGTTAAAGAGAAAGATGAAACCTCATATACTTAGAGTTGGTGGGAAATTCCTGTGGGTCCTTAAAATTCACTATTAGCCAGCTCATTAATTTTTTGCTTCCTCCAAAATGCCCCCCTTGCCTTACCACTTCATCTCCTTCAGGAGCAGAGCAGTCCTGGGTCTAGCTTCAATACCAACTTTAAAGAGCACAGCTGTGTCTCTCATCCTTGTGAGTTCCCCGTGGGGCTCTCCTATTCTGGTCACGTTCCACCTCTCTTTCCTTGCACGTAATGCCCTGCTCTTCTCATTAACAAACCTCACAGCGCTTTACAAAGACCATCAGCCCTTCCTGGCCTCCCGGTGGGGAATCAGGAGGATGGGGAGGTTTGGCAAAGCAAAGTGACTTTCCGAAGGTTGTGCCGCAGCCCTGTGGCTGGTCAGCCCTGTGAGCGTGGTGTGCTCATCCCGTCTTTTGGGAGAACATTAGCATCATAAAAATAAGGGCAGGATCTTAGGGAAGGAAGTATTTCTTCACCCCAGCTCCAAGTGGATTTCCCACATGGTTTCTGGGATGTCATTCGCTCCCACACTTGCACCAACTTGCTCATAAGCACAGTGATGCGAGTTCGACTGGTCTGGTGAAGGGATGTGTAACACAAGGGACATAGCTGGGTTGTCATCATGTCTCTGGTATTTGGCTTGGAGTCTTTTCCTGACTTGTGGTGACGAATTAATTTTTTGGGCAGTATTTTGTTTCACTAGGAGGTTGTTGTAGTGCTAGTGGAACGAAGGCTGGCACATGAGATGTGCTGCAGCCTTGCTGCATCCTCCTGATGGTAGAGCAGGGTCTTCTGTTAGCAAGCTGTTCCTGCTGCCTTGATATCCAAGCACGGCTCTCTGGCCTCGACATATCCTTCTGTTTAAGCAACTGAGAGCAGCAGTCCTTTGTTATCAGTCTCGGTGCCCTTGGTCTGCTGTTGCTTCTTGTGCATTCTTAAACACATGTATTTTCATTTTTATTTCATTTGTATCAACCTTAATATTATTCTTTCAAGTCTCTGTAATAAGTTGATTGCAAGCCTTGGGCCATTTCCAGCTTTTTCTGAAGAGCAAAGCCATCAGATTCCCACCTTCCCTTTACAGAAGGAGGGAGAAAAAGAAAGAACAACCAAAAACCCCAGCAAAGCCTGCAGGTACGAACTGCTGAAGATCAGGTGCTAAATGCAGAGAGGCACTCTGGGGTTTTTTGTAAGAGGTTTGCTTCCTAGGAAGTTAAATTTAGTCCCACCCTCTCTCAGTCATTGGCTGTCCTGATACTGCCCACTCTTTTGTATAAGACAAGCAATGCAGCTGTCAGCCTCACAAGCTCATGATCTCTGCCTGCTGAATAAGTAGAAATGGACAGGAGGTCACCCATTGCCCTCTTCATG